ATAGAAAGAAGCATCGAAAATTTTCAGGGAACACATATTCTTGATCGCCGTAAAATTCTCTATCGAATGGTGTCTGAAACATCGAAAAAAAAATTTTTTGCTCGAATTTTGCTTTGCGTGCACCTTATATTTGTGTTTCTTTTTTGTTTTCACTATCTGTCATCTACTTGCGGCTACTAAAATATAAATCAATCAATCAATCTAATGATCTATTGTAACGAAGATGAAAACATACGAGAGTGATGACTGAAGCACCACCCTCACCCTCACAAAAAAAGTTAGCCAATGATAAAAATTGTGGCTGTGGGCAGAGGGTTAGTCAGAACTGAAATTTCACTTTTATCTAAGCAAATCTAGAATTTTACTAAATTCCACTTTTGTCTACAGCATATATATATATAAAGTTACCTGTTCAAGTCTGCATTGATTGTTTCTTCTTGATTTAACGGAGGGGGCCATCTGACTTTTCCAACTCGTACAGTTTTAGCTCGTTGTTGCTGTACCTCAGGTGATGGGCGATTGACCGATGATTTAACATTTTGTTTATTGATACTAAAAACAAATGAAAGATACATAATAATAATAATAATTCATTATTTATACTTTATTGCAGTTGTTTGAATATCATTGATTGAATTATCATTTTGATAAAGTTCGTTGGAAATTCGATCTATTAAACCATTATGATGTTCAGACTCTATTTGTGCAGCACAATCTCTCGTTGATGCCACATTTAAATTTGACATTGATAAACGTTGAACATTTAGTTTTAAATCGTTAAGAGATGAACTATTTACGTAAGGACTTTTGGTACGTTGCGATTCTTCTTGTTGATGTTTGTTTTGATTCATTACTAATTGGGAAATTGTTTTATCATGCGCTGAAAGATAAAAAACATTTTTTGTATTTTATATTCATGATGATTTTGAGATATAATGGTCTTACGTTCAGGTGTGCGAGAAATTAATCTGTCTTGCTGACTGTTTGTTCTACTTTGCACTGTATTTTGCAATTTTCGATTCATCTAATACATTGTACAATAGAATCTTGACGATTATTTCCAAAAGATGTTCAATCTCACTTACTTGTGAATTGGCTGATTGTTTGAGATAAACTGGTAAATATTTTTGATAATTTATCTCAATAACAGGTACAAACATTGGACCATTTTTTGTTGTTGATGATGTATTAGTTGTCGTGGTTAATCCAGGGATTGTTGTTGATAAACAAACAGAAGGAGATAGAGGAACTAAACTAATTTCATCTTTTGCTGCAACAGCGCCATTTAAAAATGGTTTTGTAATTACATTGTTATTCTTATCAATACCCATTCGATCATCATCACCACTAATATTATTCTTTGTTTGTGGTGGAGAAAATAAGATGCTAGTAGATGAATCCAGCTACAGAAAAAAAGGAATAGATGTTGAACAAATTCTATTTTCTACCTTCGTACAATATATTCAGTAACGATTGAAGACACAGTTCACGTGAAAGATGTTTAAAATTGACATAAAGGCTACTTAGGACTTTCAGTGTCTGTAAAAACAAGGAGCACAGTGAACGCAAACAACTAATCTTACTTTGTTCCAGTAACTCGACAACGGCGATGCTATAGGCTCTATACTACTAACAACTACCAGTATCAAGATCTTTCAATCTGATAAAATTTTAAAGTTCAGCTGACACAAGAATAAAGAAAGAAAGATGTATGTTGTTGTTAGACGTTTATTTATGTACATAAAGATATAATTAATTTTTAATCGTTTAAAAAAGCACTTTGTTTTCAATCACACTTTTCTTTCCTTTAACTTTTGTTGTTATTCTCAATAGTGTATCATCAGATTGTTCATTAAATCGAGGTATGTATGATTTTGGATGAAGCAATTTTTGTAAGTCTTGTGATTGTGCTGGTGGTGGTCGACGACGACGTTGGTGTTGTCCAGCATGCGGATTTTGACTACGCATTTTATCTTTTGCTTCAGCACGAAAACCGCGTGCAGGTTCTCTGTAGAGAACGCTCAATGCTCCATTTCTCTGATGAAAGTTATGAGGTCTATTTCGATCAGAATGTTTTGTTAGATGGTGATGATAATGGTCTTCACTCCATTCATCAACTGTTGTATCTGTTTGCCAACAATTTCGTTCCATATGCATTGAAGATGATACATCACACGATGTTGCTTCTGATAGAACATGTTCATTCTTATCAGTCTCTGCAGTGGTGGTAGTAGCTGTGGCTGTTAAAAAAGACAACATACTATCATTCCATGCTGAATTATTTGTGTTCAAATTTTGATTTTCATCTTTCTTTTTAATTCGTCTCTTCTTCTGTTGTTTTAATTTATCATAATCTTTATTGGCAGTAACAGTAACAATTTCTTCTTTGGATTTTTTATTCGTTTTTTTCGGTTTTGATGATAAATCTGCTACAATCACTTTTCGCTGACCATCTCTCTTATGTAATGATACTTTTTGACGTAATAATGATTCTACTTTTGAATTTGATATTAACTGAAAGCGTTTTTGGTTATAGGTAGATATTTGAATATCATTGATTTTCGCTGCTGTTCGATTAATATTTGGTTCTAACAGAGCACGATCAAATAAATCATCGAGAAATGCTTCAACATCTGATTTTCGATTTGGTATCGGTATTTCAGAGATAGTGGCAATAGATTCTGTACCTGCAGCTAATCTTTTAACAAACAAGAGGATAGGTCGAGTATTAAGTTGATTGTTAAACAATTAGTATGCTCTACTTACAGTGGATTTTTCTTTTCAAGTTTTTTCGTTTGTGGATAGCCTTGAGTATTTCGTGCACTTTTGTTTTTAACGAACCTGTCAACGAAAAAGAAGTTTAGTACATTAGTCAAAGGAGATGAGAATATACGTTAGCCCAAAAACGAAAGACACTCTTCTAAGGCACTTTACTTTGTACTAGGTTTTGAATCTTTCGCCTGTTCCTCTTCTCGGTCGGTATATTGTTGTTGATAATCTTGTTGTATATCGGATTCACCACTTGAAAACTGATAATCATCCTGATTTTTACATTCAATCTAGAACAATAGTCGCATAATTAATATTTTCAGAACAAATATATTTTGAACACAAACTTGATCCTTTACATTTGGTGCTGATAAACCTAAACAATGAAATATTATGATGGTTGATTATATCAAGCTGGTGTTTTAACAGGTACTTGGCTAACTTTTCACTCTTTAAGAACCTCCTTGTACAAAAATGAAATGTCTAAAGTGTTCAAAATTTAAATTAAACCCTCGGTAAATGAAGATTACAATGCAATTTTTATTGCAAAATAATCGCAAGGAGTCGAATGGAACTGTTTGTAAGATACTTTTTTCTCAGAATCTGTAATAGTGTAGAAATCAAGTTGGCTGCAGATGAATCTAGGCATTACGGTCTGTAAAATACAGTATTTTTCGCTTCTGTCTTCATTGCTTTCTGGTATGGATTTTAAGTTAGAAGTATCAACATTTGCCTGATAGCTTTCGAAAAAAGTGCACGTATCTTGATAATGGAAGCAAAATTAAAAAATCGTTTGAAAGAGTTGTAGATTTAGGTGCGCAGATTCGTTTGAAACTAATCTGATTTTTATACGTATTGTTAATCCTGAGAACAACAGTGAGCTCCGCAAAAGGGGAAATGTACTCTGCATCTATTGTCGTATGATTAAGACCTACAGAAAAATGATTGTCCACTCGAACAGTGAAAAAAATTTCATCCCTAAGGCCTTTTTTATCAAAAAATAAAGATTGAAGATGTTTTTGTTACAATAATACTATTTTGAGGTATAGAGAGTCCTTCTAAATTAAAAACGATGATTTTCAATGATGAAAAACTCAGTGAAAAATGGCCATTTTGGGGAGGTTTCTGAGTGAGCAACGGAAACTCTGTATTAGATTAAAACTCCATTAATTATTACCTATGTGTTCATATTGCGGGGGATGCACTGGTCCGATGGAACAGACTGAAAAGTCACCATAAACAGATGTTGGATTATCGATACCATTATAATCGCTAGAAGAAAAATAAAAAGATATTGACGAATAATGTCATGAAAAGAAAGTAGTCAAAATGCACCCATGATAAAAATGGCATCATGCTAATTGAAAATAAGAGAATAAACATGCTTATAATAGAGAATAAAGCTCGTGAAGTAGTATATCCCATGTTTATTATTGTTAACATGCATCGCCGATAATAATCCTTGATTGTTGTTATTTCATGCATTTCAGTACCTCACAAGAATAGCCTGTTGTTCGTCTATTTGAACAACTTTTGAACCACTTCTCTTCGTTTTCGTCGATGCTGGTGGTTGTATTGAAACTCGTCGCTTACTATGACGTTGATTATCATCCTGAGTGATTGTTGAACATGATTTTCCACTTAACGATGAATTTTTTGACGAACGAAAACAACGAAGAGCAGGAATTTTTGATAAGAAATGTCCGCCACATCCTGAATCTTTTGTTTGATGCGATGATGTTGTCAATTTTCTTACAGATGACACTGTTGAATTAGGGTGGTTTTGAACAACTTTTAACGATGATTTTTGAATCTGTTGGGTCTTTTTGATAGATGGTTTTGGATGTAACTGGACTGTTCGGACTGTTTCTGACGGATGAGGTTGTGGTTTAATACTTGACCTTTGCGTATCTCTGCTGAATGGAGTGCTTTTGTTACTTGTCCTCGACGGAGGCAGTGGTTTTGGACTTGGAGGAACATAGGTGATCATTTTGATTGTAGATGGTTTTTGTTGAACTTCTTCTCTAGCAATCACTTCTGTTATGGTTGGAATTATACTTTCTTGTGTACTAGCACCTTCAGCACTACTACGACTATCGGTTCGTTGACGTATTAGTTCATTTTTGTGTGAACTAAACGATTGTACTGATGGGTCTTTTAATATTGATAGTGGCTTGTCATCAATGTCGGATAGTGGATTCTCTTGTTCATCAGCACTTCCACTTTCAGAGGATGAATGTTTACTAATTTCAATGTATAAGGGAGAATGATGTTTGCTGTATTTTCGTGATTGATTAGTTCGTTCAGGACTGGACTTGATACCATCGCTTTTTTCATGATCAGAACGCTGATGAGATGATGTTAATTTTTTATGTCTTACTGATCGAGCTGATTCTTCACAACTAGCAGGTGTCGAGTTCTTTGATTTTCGTCGGGGATGTTCAACGTTTAAGTACCAGTCAAACACAGAGTCTCTATGTCGATATCTACAGATAGAAATATCTGCAGATCACACTCTCTCTCTCTCTCTGGCATGTGTTAAGAAAGATAGGGAAAAGGTGACTATCGATTAGCTAAATTCTTTTCAAAATTTTTTACCACTATTAACTTCAAATTAGAGGTGAAAACAAATTTTTCTCGAGAAAAAAGTGATAGTTTACCTGAATGTGGTATTTCGTCGTTTTTTTGATAATTTATGTTCATTATCAGTATGGACAAGAAAAAATGATTTACACATTGGAAAACAGGGAGCAACCTCCATTTCACTAATTAAATCTAATACGTAATCGTATCCCATCAATTCAACATTATCATATTCGTCCTTCAATGTTAGCGACCATCCATTACGATAGGCTGCATTATGTATACCACGTGTCTCCAGTAAAGTTGAAGCAAAATCTTCGCCAGTCATCCATGATTCAACTTCTCCAACAATTGGATAATCTAAAATAATATTGAGATAATATATTAGATTCTATTCATTGAGAACTTAGATTATTACCGTCAGCAAATTGAACTTTGAGTGCCATATTATATGCTTTTGAATTTGCTGCCCATTCTAGATGTGTGGGTGGATATGTTCGTGGTGAATCGGCTACACCAGCAAGTAACAATTTTCGTTGACAATAGGGTTTTGATTCGTCAGTTCCATTATCCGACACATATCTAATACATGAAGCAGTATATATATTTTCCAGCGATCATACAAAAAATACAATGGACTATTTTCTTACTTGAGTAAAGATTTGTACAAAAATGGTGACGGTGAAAAACAGCTCATAGAATTTAACATTAATAGCCATGCTTTTGTTAATTTAACATTATCAATATTATTCCACGTTTGATTACAAATTTGAACGAAAATTTCATCGCGCAATATTTCATTCATAAGACCCTTTCAAATGAAATGTTATTTATAGATACATTTGTAGAAACTGTCGATCAAACTTACCATTTGGACAATATAATCTCCTAGTACACGATCACGCTTTGTGTCATACTCACTTGTATTGACAAATCTTAAAATCTAAATGCAAAAGTAGTCGTCTTTCTCTGAGTTTACATTTTTCGTACTTATACGAAAGTGTATTCTTAATTGGCTTTAATAGTCAAAAAATACGTTAAATATTTCAAAATCAACGCTTTCGGGAATGTGCCGTTTCCACTGAAACGACTTCTGTATTTCTTTTCGATCTTGTCGTTATGTAACGTGTTTAAAATAATACTGTTAAAACGTGTTGAAACAGCTCGTTATCGAGTATTTCCTAATGAATTTTATAAAAAGTCATTTTTAGTATCGTTTCTAACAATTTTTTTGTCTGGGATATCGAATTGAATGTGGTTTTAGCTCGAATAAGTTTAGTTAGACTAAAGCTCTCAATAAACCGTTCGAAAGAGTCGAGTAGATATGACTATGGTATCTCTGCATTCGTTCTCAACAGATGAGAAGTATTTCCAATGCATTACGAAAAATTCTAATAATCAAAATAATTATATCTGATGAATGAAATGTTTCCTTTTTTGAATTGCTTACACGTTTGCTAACGCATTTCAAAATTCCAAAATACGACGTTTGAAATGAATAAATAAAGGAAAAATACGTTTGAATGACAGTAAAAAAAGCATTCATTTTCAAGCCGTTAATGTCTTTACGGTCGTTGAAAACGAAATATATTCTAGGCGGATACACGATATCTATTGGGAAAAAAACATATTTGTGTTTACCAGTTTGAATAATGCTAATGCCAATTGGTACTGTTGTTCGTTAAACGTTGCAGTTGTAAATGGTTCATTGATTGGTACTAATTTTCTATCCCATTTTGCACCACACTTAAATAATATATGAAATTTTGTAATAAAATTTAAATATTTCTAAATATATCTTTTCTATTATATTACCGTTGTGTTTGACATGATATATTTCATAAATGGATAATTATTAATATCATCTGGTAGTGAGAAATGTTCTGTAATCGAGTTGACGGGTTGTGTTGATTCATACAAATGTTGATTTGTATGTTGTTCGTCCCAGGCTATAAAAATATTTATAATATTGAACAATAATCGTTTTAAAAATGTCACACATGCCTACCATCGATACGACTATAGACAAGTGTCAATTCAGCTGGTATATCCAATAAATTAAATGGTGTAGTCTACAATGTAAAATCATTCCATTGCTCTAATATTTTATAGACAGACATAAACTAGAATACTCACATCATGTGCAGTTATTTTTGACATGGAACTTCGTCTAAATAAATCAACAGTATGGTTACAATATCAAACAAAACAGTTGAATATCTCTATTTGTTAACAATAGTCAGAATCACTTACTCTGAATATAGTGTATTAGAACTAGAATAAATGTGACTTATAGCGGTTGAATGTGAAAAACATGTATCATCAGATGTAAGTGAAAGTAATGATTGGGATGTTTTATTTGTTAAACATGATTCAGAATCAATTGTAGATATTTTATGCTCTTGACTAATACTACTACCGTAAAGATCAATATCAGGTGACATCGATATCATTGCTCGTGCTATCGATGTGCCAAGACTCATTTTTCGTTCAACTTTTGAACGTTTTACAGTAGATAATGACATGATGTAAAAAACTGTTAACTGAAAAAAATGAATATCAACGGTAAACTTTTGTCATTGTTTATTGTCCGTTCATTGCTTAATTTGTCTTAATCCATTTTATAATATTTATGTCTGTGACATTTAAAAAAATTATGATTTGTATACAAAAAAGAAAAAAGGTCTATTCAACAATGTTTAACAAATTTGATTAAACAAAGCAAAAGAACATGAAGGTTTACATGACGATGATATTCATATATATATATGACAACTTAGCGTCAGGTAGATCATTAATCTCAAACAAAAAAAAACTTTTTAATTTTCTACTTTTTTTTGTTAATTTCTTTAGTGTCTATAGTTGTTATTTTTGACAATATTAAAATAAATTTTGTCTTATTTTATCGCTTTATAATGAAATATTAACACTTACTTTTCTGACCATAGACGATAAGCTTTTTGTAAAATGATAACAGCATTTCTCTGTTTTATAAATTGATTTCGTTGTATAAAACCTTTTAGTGTACGTTGTATTGTTAATGCTGCTTGATTTAATAGGAGAGTACGTTGTTGTTCCAATTGTTGTTCTAATGACTCTCTTAAAAATACCTATTATAAAACAAACATATTTTTTTCTTCTTCAATTTTATTCATTGAACATATTCTCATACTTTTGTAATGCCAATTTGATATTGTGAAGCAAATCTTGACGGTAAACCACTAAGAACACGAATTGTTGTTTCTTTTGGATCATTTTCTAACAATGATCCATTGAGAGAATGATGGTGATGATGATGAAAATGTAAATGACGAAGATCAGTCTGATAAAAACGATCATTTAACAAACATCGATATCTAAAAAAAAAAACAGAAAAGAAAAAGATTCAATCAGATTTCAGTTCAAAAAATGATGAAGTTAACTTACCGTTTAGCAAAATAATCAAATTTATATCGTCTTGGATAACCGAGTTTTCTTATTCTTATTGTTTCAAGCATGCCCGTATATTTTAATTGTTCTAAGACCACTGATAATTCTAATTTATTCGCTAATTTTTCATTATTAGGTTTAATACAGCGAATAAAGTACGGATTACATCTTGTCATAGTTTCTAATAGATGACTTAATGAATCATGAAATCGAGCTGAAACAGTGGGTGTTTTCGCTTTCATTGTTATAAATCGACCCGTTTTAAAACTAAAACCTCTGAAAATAAATTAAAAAAATTTGAAAAAACATCAGTTTTTGACAGAATTAGAATTTTCTATCATCGTACCTATGACTTTCGTATAATTCTCGAATATCACGAAACATAAGCGATAACATCTAGAATAATAAAATCATTCATTTTAGAAAAAACACTTTAATTATGAGTTAAATTATACCGTATTTCTGCTTGATGAAAATAAATCAATTACATCACTTCGAAGCATATCTCGATTTTTATCTAGAAAACCTCGTACCTAAAATGAAATTGTTTAAAATAATCATTTCACATTTCATTTTTTATTTTTTTGTTTTACTTACGTCATATTCAACTTCACCTGCATAATGTTTGATACTAAATATTGATTTTAATAGACGAGGTTTTCCATACAATGGATTTGTTTCATGAGCAAAATGACATTTTTGTAAAAATGATTGATCAGTTGCTCGTGGAAAACTCGATTCATCATCTAAAATTGGTATTATTCCATGTGGTTTTTTAGCAATTAAATCTAAACAATCCGTATTATCCGTAAATTCAATTCGTTTCCATGATAATTTTTCTTTAATATATTCTTCCTTTAATAATAAATAAAATAATATTTATTATAAATAAATCTATTTTATTTTAAACTTACTTGTTCTAATTTAAATACATGTCGATTAAAATAAAATTGTAATGCTTCATTAGCATAATTAATACATAATTGTTCAAAACTATTGAGAGAAAAATTTTCAAAACCAAATATATCTAGGATGGCAATTGAATTTTCAACATTTATATTTGCTCGTACAATTTGATTTATACGAGCAACTAACCAACTAAATAATGTACTATATAATGCTTTGGCAATGGCATCTCTACAAATAGAATTATTAATATTTCTATTAGTAAAAGAAAAACTATTTTTTAAATTATTTTTTTCTATAATATAATAAATTACCGTGAATCGAGTGCTTGATCAAGATTAAATGGTGTTAATAATCGTTCATCACGTGCTTCTGTTACTTTATGTGTTAACTTTTGTAATAGACCTTGATCATTTAAACCAAGTAAATGTGCAGCCCATTCAATTTCTGATTTTGTACTAATTTGAATTAGATCATGACCAGATTCATCCTAAAATGAGAAAACAAAACAAAAAAAAATTGTTTAAATTAAACAAAAAACAACTCAATTTTTAATTCTAATAACTTACTAAAACACGTGTAAAATAAATATTTCCAAGATGTAAAACGGCTGCTAATATTTTAAATATTGTCTCTTGTTCATTTTTAGCAAAACTTAATATTTTCATTGCATTTAATAATGATTGAAAATCATGAGTATCATCTTTTGTTGATATAGTACAATTACCACCCTATAGAGAGTATTTTAATTTTAATTATTTACTATGGAGTTTTAGTATAAACATACTCGATTTAAATAGAAATATTTTTCAGGAGTTGAAAGACCTATATAAACAGAAACAAAAAGAATAAATTATCAGTAACAGATGAGATATTTAGCAAAAAAAGAGGAAAATACACGTTCTTTTTTTAAATTTCTTTTATTTAATAATAAAGTATCGATTCTAAGTCTGTCTTCTTTAATAAATAGCCGTGTTTTATTTCAATTAAGAACGATAGAAACTCAAGGAAGAAAAGAGACTAAATGATAAAATGTTTAAATATTTTTCGTACTTTAAATGAAATCTAACGTTAAAAATAATTTTAGAATTAAAGATTAATATTTTGGTTATATATTTAATAAAAAACTAACTTCATATTAATGTCATAGAGAAAAAAATTGTTTTCCATGCTAACAACGTTTCCGAAAGTGATAATAGTTCCCACCTTTTTCCAAATCTAGTTCAAACTTTGCTCAAATATCTGTTACATCTATGAACACATAGCCCAAGTCTTTCTAGATCTTACAATAGATTTTTTTTAACATAAAATCCTTTTCTCTTTACAAATGATATATATCAGAATCAGCATGGAAAACTGAAACAAATGATATAGTTTTCAAATATTTTTAATGCTCACTGCTATCCACATGAACATTTAGCAAAAAAGACGAAATCGACATTTTTCACTTTTTTACTAAATGATTATTAATCTATTATCTCAATCCTTTTTTCCTAGAAGAACAATTGTTCATCTCTATGGGAAGAATGAGAAAGGGTAAATTTTATTAAAAATAAATCGAAAATATCGACGAAATTCATTTTGTTTTGACAACTGAAATGACTTTAAACATTGAAAGCAATACCAATAAAGTTCATGCTAAATAGGTATCCCTTAAAACACTCGTTCACTATAATCAATTTTTCTGTCTTTCAAATAAGTTCCAATTTTGTACAAATACTCTTACATGTATACTACATTGATGAAATTAGTGCCATCTTTTCGAGATCTCACAATAGATTATTGAAAAAATCCTTAGTTTTTTGACATAAAATCTAATTTTTTCCATCATGTCCGCCAAAAGTATCCATTGTATAGTTACGTACCGTATTTTCGCTTCTCATCAACGGAAAGTCCAGCCAACAATTCGTAGAAAACATGATAGTTTCGTTCATCAGTTGAATGGGTCACAATACGAGATTTTTCTAGCAAATATTCCGATATTTTAGCACCGACAATCGATTTTCTAAAAAAAAAAGAAGAACATCTTTGACTTGTGTTATATAGTCTTCTACAGAAGATATTTCTCATACAAATTGAAAATCAAATACTTACTGTTTATAATAAACTTCAATATATTTTCCAAATCGACTACTATTATCATTTCGAACAGTTTTTGCATTTCCAAAACTTTCAAGAAGTGGATTTGCTTCGAGAATTTGTTCTGTTGTTAATTTATATTCACTTGGATTAACCTTAAAATAAAATAAAATTTCGATATATTTTTAAACAAATTTAAAAAAAATTAAATTAATTAATTTACTGCTGCCAAATAATTCATAATTAATTTTGTTGATTCAGTTTTACCAGCACCAGACTCTCCACTAGAAAATAACGATACAAAATGGATAAAAAATGATTAAATGACGATTAAATAATATAGTACCTAATAACAACACATTGATTTGATTTTTCTGATGACATTTTCGCGTGAGCTGATGATGATGTTGCAAATATATGACTAAAAATAGATTCTAATAGAATAATAGATAAAATGATATATTTTTACAGAGTATATACGCTGGAAGTGAATTGATCATCAATTGATTTTCATATTTTTGAACATATTGCAAATTATAAATATCACATATACAGTAGGGATTAACAGCAATCAAAATGCTACCAATATATGTCTAAAAATAAAACATTATTAGTAATAAAAAAAAGAAAATAACAACAAAATAACTTTTTATCGATCACCTACATAGAGTTGTCGATGATCATATCGAATTTTAATATTCCATAAAATAGATGCTTCATTCAAATCACTAAAAGATGAAAAAATTGTGATAAAAATTTAAATATTTATTAGATATTTTTTGTATATATTTGTTACCTCATTGTGATCATATCATTGACACCCTCTTCAGGAAGAGGCATTCGTGGAAATATTCGACTTGTCTCATCTAATTGATAAATAAAAATCTAAAATAAAAATTAATCGAAATTTTTTTTTATGAAAAATTAGATTATAAAAATGAATACCTTTCCATTCGCATTTGTTTTTACGGACGCACGATTTTTAACGACATCGACAATTTCACCCGGAATATTATAACCACATCCAGGATCAAACCAAATTAATTTTCCCTTTGAATTAAAATAATGAAATGTTCACATCAGTAAACATAGAAAATATATTGATCTCTAACAATGACTAGATGAATTGAGCTTAGACATGTCAGTCGATAAGCGCTTGTGCTACTGAAGATGAAAAACCTTTCGCTTTTTCTAAGTACTGTCACCAATGGACACATTTTTTATGAAAAAAGAACGGGATTATTTTCTTGCCTGAAAAATCATTTATCAGAACGCCTGTGCGCTGCTAAAGACAAAAATTTTGAAGTATTTGGAGTAAGGTTATTGCAAAATACTATAACATTTCTCACAGATAATAAGATGTGCTTTTATTGGATGATGAAAGTAATGACAATGACATTCGTCGCACTACAAAAATATTCTAAACTATACCAAAAATATTTTCAAGCAAACTCTTCTCATTAAATATTATTAAGCAGACAAAGTTAAAAACTTTCGAAGATACACTACTACTGAGTACTATATACATAATTCTTAACTATAGAAATCAGAAAATCTATTTTTGATTCTAAGACTTTTTAGAAATCGGGTTATAGAGCCAAGATCCTTTTTTCCAGTCTTCCAATTATATTAAATGCAGAGCATTCTGAAGTAAATATCTGAAATTTTTCAGATTTGTTTGATCAGTAATAAGCGAGATAAAAATCTTTTAATATTATATGAAAATAGGCTAAAATGCAAGGGGAAAAAAGCGGTTTCGGGAGTTTTTCAGAATTCTTGAAATCCTTTACGATGCTGCGCGATGTGAAAAAGGAAAAAAATTGCCTTTTCTCCCTTGAATTTTTCAAATCATTTTGAAAATAACACTTTGAGCTATTTACTCATGATAAAACCAACTATATTCTCGTTTTGTTTTCTGAGAAGCCGGGTCAGATTTTCAAAGATCAACACAAAATTCTGTATTTGAAAAGATTTTTAGACTTGTTTTATTTATGAAAAGATTTATGTCTTCCCTTTCAAATGGCGAAAATATTTATATTTCCCTTCATTGCTTCATGTCACGGCATAGTTAACAGTCAATGAACAACCCGTTAACACTTCATAAATGTTATTTTAACGGACTACTTTCTCACTACTGAACTAGGACTGTTTTACGGATATTATTTAGCCATTTTTTACGATAAGAAAATGGTTTGTTTTAGACACTGAGATGTTTTCTGAAACTAATTATTTTTTTGATTTTTTACCTCAAAATAGTATTTCAATACTTTTCAATCTTGCGGGGTTTTGATACTATTGCAACTACCTGTTCTAGTACTGTGATACTATCAAGAGTACTAGTGGCATCTTTCTTAAGCCAAATGTCAATCATTTGAGTGTACGAGAAAGGGAAAACTTTCTAAATTTTTCTGAAAATACCAGTAAATATTACACAAAAACAAAAAAAAGGCGATTGACTCATCGAAAGACGGCGAAGTAATGTTATATGACCGTTAGGTTTCACCTGGATCAAATTTATTAAAAAAATATTCGAAAATATAAGAGAAGTAGTTATTTCATGGAGTAAATGTTCGAAAACTGCGCGCACATTGTTTCCTGAAAGATTTTTCTTGCTTCATTTACCACGCATCTGAAACTGTTATTCTTAGGTCATAGAATAAAAATCTACTTTTCGCTATTAGTAGTCGATCTTAATAACCTGTAACACTAAGAAGTAATGCTTTTTCTCTCGTTTTTCATTATCAGCTTTTTGTCGATTCACGCATTTAAAATGAGACGGTGGCTACCTCTATCTATTCATTATTTCGTGGAAGATCATCCTAGTGAATGTACTCAAGTGTGAGTACTCAAAGTCGTACTCTGCTGAAAAATGTCCCGATTACTCATGAGTACTCACACATTTTTTTACTCATTGAGTACTTACATGAGTACTCATCAGGGAGTAACGAGTACTATGAGTACGATTTTAAGTACTGTGAGTACGACTTAGAGTACTCATGCTTGGGAATTGTTGAGTACTCATATAACTTTTGGCAAAATACTGATGAATATTGTTTATCTGATATTTTCGTGTAGAGGAGTGATCTCACGAGGGAACCGCCTGAGGTGCTAAAAACCTTTTTGAGTGGGACTATTTTTAAAATGTAGATCCTCATGGACTATGAAGAATCCCAACTTGGTTCATGCGCAATCAGCTTTGTTGCTGAGATACCGAATTTTTACTCTA